TCTCCAGGCAGACAAGGGAGAGAAACCCTTCAAGCAGAGTTTTAAGAGGGCATTGTGCATTTTGGAAATTGCAGATAGTTTAGTGACAAAAATTAAGGATTAAGTGAGTACATGCTGTGTGGTGAGGCTAAAGAGGTGAGAAGAGTTGGGGGAACCATAGAAAAATTTTGAACCAGATTGTATCATGGTCAGATTCATAATTTAGAAAGGCCCCTTTTGGTTTTCTAAAGATGATAAACTGAAAGGCAGCAAAACTAAAGGCAGGAAGACCCATTGGGCACAGCTAAAGGAATCCGTGCGATGAATAATCGGGGCTTACATTGTCACTGTGAGAATGAAGAGGGACATCAGTGTTAGGTGGCAAAACTGATAGACTCTGAGTGCCATAGATTCAACTGAGTGAGATGTCAGCCTTACCCCCAGTGAATTAACATTCTAGTTGGGACAACATATAAACTATCAACCTTGTTATGCAATGTTATATTCAAAGCTAGATTTACAGTAGGGTTACCTCATTGTGTAAGTCCTTCTTGTAAAAATACAGACTTTTTCCCCCTCCCTGGGAAAATTTCCAACTGGAAGAGTTTTAGCTCCAGTCATTTTTGATGTGGATAATTATAAAGAAAGAACTTAAGATTCAAAAATACTTAAATGTGGTTAGTAAAGCAGATGGCAGAAAAAGAGAAGCTTTTGCAGTGAAACTTGAAGATGAGACAGAGGAGATACAGGCTCCAGAATTGTAGTCTGGCAGCTTCTGTGAGGAGGAGGCAAACCAGAGGTGTGGAGCAAGCTGACGACATCTGCTTGGATGGAGGACGCCAGGCAACAACACTGGACTGCAGTGCCCTTCTGGATGCTGGGGGTTGGATTTGAAAAGTGTCAGCCAAGAATAATATAGCAAATTCCCCAAATCTTTTTCTATCTCATGCATCCAAATGACTCTTTATTTCTGTGACCTTGACAGGGTTTATGTGACAGAGGTGCACAGGTCTAAGTTATAGAGTGAAAGCCACATGTCTAAATGCAGAACCAACTGCAGAAAGGAACAACATACACATCCTCATTGTGTGCATATCATTTGCAGTAAAATTAATTTACCAGCAATATGTGAGACTATAGGGGAGGGAGATTCAGTAGTTTCTAGTAAACAAGGGAGGTTAATTAGGAATAGTAATACCCATCCATTATTACTAATTTAAAGGGTTTAAAGAGGATTTACTATTTTCTTAATTTGGTGTGCTAGGTTTTTTAAAATTTTGTTTTAAATGAAAATATGAGGGATTTCCTAAATTTACATGTGTCCTTGATCTCTGGAACTTTTATTCTCTATCAGATCACAAATTTGAAAACTCCCAATTACATAGAACTCTATCTCAAGAGTGCAAATTTACATGGTACCCCAGAAGAACAAGGTGCATTCTTCCCAGAGAGAAGTATGGAAGAGGGATGCAAAGGGAAGTGATATGTGAACTGGGCTTTAAGAATGAGGATTTCATGAAAGAGGCAATAGCACAAAGGAATTCTAGACAGAAGTAATGGCCTTGTGGAAGTATGACCATGCATAGCATGTTCAGGACTAGCAAGTAGCCATTTGAGGTGGCAAAGGCATAAGCTGGCTATAGTGTGAGAGGAAGGGGTAAGAGCCAAAGGTGGAAATATTTGTCTAGATTATTCTCTTCAGGCCCCAATAAACTCAGTTGGACAATTCACCTTAATTTGTACTAGAGGTTAGATTTAAAACATTAGGAATGAGTGAAGTCTGCTAAAATTGGAGTTGTTCTTTTTCTCCTCAAAAATGGTAGCAATTGTAAGTTTTTGACAGTTGATGGAACTACCCTGAAGAGTTCCATTATTCCCATGAAAATTAGTAGTTCTTGTGGTAAGGAAATGTTTTAGGAATTGCTGATAATAGGTATGTCAACAACTTCCAATTACATAATGCCGCTAGAAAGATCCAAATCTTTTTCATGTGTTTCTTTCATATTCCAGAAATAGTACTGGCAAATGTTCAGAGAAGGCAGAAATTTGCTAGGACATACTTTTTAAAACCCCAGCTCACCTCTTTATGGAAACAATTTTAGACAAATCCTTTGCATGTCATTCAGAATATACTACTTGACTTTGGTGTCCATATGCCTTATGTTATGCATGTTTTAAAAAAACAACAACACTTTTTTCTTTCTGTAACTGTGCAAGTGCTGTAATTTGACCTGAGTCATTATTTTAGTAGTCACCATTTTCATAGTTAAAATTTTTACTTCCAGATCTTTGTTAATACTTCCACAAAGGATTAAGAAACATCACAACATATGAATTAAAATACTTCATTGTTTTAAGAAAACATAAATCCATGAATGACATCGAAGATAAAAAGTAGTGCTATTTATAGACCTTAAATTCATCCTCCTCCCCTTTAAAATTAAATCCAGACACCATTCCTGCTTGAACTTTAACAAAGTTAAACAAAACAAGGGACAGGATCTTAAAACCATGGAAAATACCATTGTGGTTTCAATCCAATCAGGTATAACTACTTATGTCTGGTCAGAGTTGGATGACATGTTTTAATAATGGAATATAGGATGTTTTGCTAACTGGTTATTAGTTTAACGTTCCCCCCAAATTAATCTTGACTATACCTCAAATTCAAAGCTTGCTCATGTATCCAATTTTAGCACTTCTCTTTTCCCCTGACTACTAACTTATTGAAGGGGAAAGAGCTAGTGACCATCAAATTTTTCCACAGCTTATTAGGAGGGCTTAGTAGTGGAAAATAAATGAGGGGCTTTGGTTTACTTCAGTTGGCCAGCCTGGAGCCCACTGGAAAAGTCTGGAAGCAACACTTCATGTTACCAAGGAACTGGATGGAGCCATTTTGATTGTGCAACTCCAGAACACTTTGCAAATGTGTCTTTTAGTTGTAATTGTGAGTGCCCATGCATGACATCTCATGTGCTTCTGGAATAGATTCTGTAAGGGGTACCTGAAGGTCCTTCCTCTACCCTGCCAACAAGTTAGTGCTACTTTTAGATGGAACCCAGGCAGGCTGTAATTTCCATGACCGTTACTTAGAATGAGTTGGCAAGTTTCAACCAGATTGAATGAACATCCCTGGAAGTGTCAGTAAAATCTAGATGCTGGATAAAGTTACTTTTTTCTCAAATGGATGAAATGAGTTTTGTTTTGAGCATCTGTATGATATTTTTGTGATTATTAAAGGATATATCAACGAAGTTAGGCTACATATTAACCTATCAATCAAAGATCATTTTTATTAGGCAGTTCTCTGCCTGTTTAGAAACATAATTAAATTTCAAACTGTGTAACTGTTTCTGTTGTCTTCAAAGAATGGGATGTATCTAGAACTTCTTATTACAAGCTAATTAATAAAGCATGCCTGTCTTTCAGGGTACCTATACTGTTGGTAGGTATAGATATTTTCATTTTGATTGCTCTATTTTCACTCCAGAACACCAGGTAATGCGAGACTACTGAATCTATCAGACACCACTCTACTCACTTCAGTTATTACCAGAGGCCCTCCAAGCTCCAAGAAACCTTGCAGATCTTCCCCTTGATTTCACAAAGGAAGAAATTAGCACTCAGAGATATAAGACAACTTTTCCTCTCCAAAGTCTGCAGAGCTAGCTGATAAAAAAACACAACCTAAAACTAGAACCCAGGTCTCCAGCCTTTTATTGTACTATGCCTCCTATGCTAAAGGGAAATTAGGTGTGTCTTCTTACTTCATTTATCTCCTTCGATATTTGAAGACAATGATAGGTACAAAAACACCTACTTCCTTTTAAGAGATTATGTCAGATGGTGTCAAAGAATTTCAATGTAAATTCCTTTCATTTTGTGTTACTCATAAATATTCCAAAGGGCCAGAGAGCATAGTCTACCGGAATGCTTGAATCTGTTATTTTATGCAGAGCTTTACATGGTCTTATTAAGCATATGGAAATATTGTGTCAGTCTACTCTTACTGAAAAGAAAATGATTTCTAAATATAAACATGTACTCTTTTTATGATCAAATTCATTCCAAGCATGCATTTCAATTTATAGCTACATGTGCATTATTTTCAAAGAAATTTGAATCATTGTTTACCTTATCATAGAATAAGAATTAATATAAGAATAATGAATTAAATGTCAAATTAATAGTTCCTTTTTAAAGATTCAAAGAAAAGATAGTATGATTTTAAAATGAAGGCTTTATCCTTAAAAAGTTATCTGTGATTTTATACTTTAGCATTGCCATATGTATTTTGGTAAGTCACTTTATTTAAAAGTGATTTTAAATAAAAACGGAATCTGAACACAGAATAATTCCACTAGAAATCAGGTCAGGAGCCCCCTTGGGGAGTGTAATGACCCAAGTGGTCCTGAGGGGCTTACTGGGTGCTGGCGATGCTCTGTTTCTTTAAGTACTGCTTTGGGTACTGATATGTTTAGGACTAAGCGACACATTTATGTGAATCTTATTGTATATACTATTTCAGTTGAAAGTAAAAAAAAAAAATTAAGGTGCTAAAATAGAGTCTTTGAAACTTGTCCTCTACAACTTACAAACATGTGACTGGTAGTATTGTATACCATTTACTATTTGATTCCAAATTTAAGAGAATATAATGAAAGTTGATAGATTGCTCCTTTTTTTTTTTTCCCTAAATCTTCTCTATGCTCTACTAGGAATTTAGATGTCAAATTGCTAAATATTTTACCAATTCAATAAAAAAAATGTGTAATCAATTATATTTATCATTAAGGTAAAAACAGAATAGTACTTTACCTTCTGAGTTTTTGAAATGTGGAATCTTCTTAAAGTGTATTCTAAATAAACATGGTTTTATAGGCTCTTTTAATAAAGTGAAAACAAATTCTTAGTGAACCATTCTTCACATTTATTTGTGTAATTGATAATAGATGGCTCATTATGTTTCCTGTGACTTGGAAACAAGAAGGTATGTTTACTTTTCAAATCACTCTTGACAGATTACCTCTGCCTGAGCAGACATTCATGGGCTACTGGACAATTGGCCAGTCAAGAAATGGAATGCAAAAGCTGTTGTGTCCAGCAGAAACTCATCATATAGACATAAAGGTTGTTACTATTTCTTCATTGAAATATTGAATGTTACAGATTTTTATATATTTTTACTGGATAAAATTCATACAAGCTCAGAAATGCCTGGTTCTGATGTTATTTTACAGTCAATTTAATTTCTGCTCTAACTCTCAAGCCAGTCTGCCCTCTGAAGGACTCAAGGTAGGTGACTGCTAATGGTCAGTCGAATTCTTGAGAAGATACCTATACTGCAGGAGAATCAGGTATCTTGTGTGTTATCCTAGGACAGTTACTCCATGATATTCATCTTCATGTAAAAAGGTAAAGTGAAGGCGTATCACTTATTAGTTGCCCTATGCATTTCAAGCAAAAAGGGGTTTCTGTAGGGAATTAGATGCTTATAAAATCATAAGAAAGGGCAGGAGGAACAAAAACCTAGGGGCCATCACTGGACTTTTAGTTTCAAGATCAGTGTTTCTGTTTTGGCCACCACCTCTGTTGCTGAAAGCTGCACAGTAAAAAAGGATCAGCAAACTTATGTTGTAAAACATCAGGCAGTAAATATTTTAGGCTTTGTAGCCATACAGATTTTATCACAACTATTTAACTCTGCCATGGTAACTTAAAGCAGCCATAAACAAAACATTAAACAAATGAGTGTGTCTGAGTTTCAGCACAATTTTATTTACAAAAGCAGCCAGTGGGTCGGACTTGACCTGTGGGCCAAGTTCTTCAATGCCTGCAGTAGAGCATAGAATCTGCTCACATTTGTCAGAGACTCCTTATCGACTGCAGCTGCAGGGAGTTGACTACTACCTCTTGTGCCTTCCAAATCTCATGCAAGTGCATTTCATTGGCGGAACCTGAATCACACCCAGAACCCTTGCTGCAAAGGAGTATAAAGAATGTAGTTTCTAGTCTTCCTGCTCCTGATACAGACTAACCCCAAAAGGTGAGAGGAGCATGGGTGCTATAATAGTCAATATCTAACGCAAACACATTTGATTAAGGACTGACTGTAAGGCGTGTAAATCATTAAAAATCTAGTGTGTGTGTGTGTGTGTGTGTGTGTGTGTGTGTGTATGTATGTGTGTGCATATATATATATATATATATAAACTTTCTAGGATATATCTAAATATCAATCACATTATTAATTTTTTTCCTCTGCTTATGTTCCTGTTGAATAATATTTTACCATGTGTGAAATACTCTACCTTTTATAACTATCAGTAGTTGTTTTTAATTTCAATCGTCGTTTTTTATATTTTATTTCCAAGACCCAGGTTTAGCCATTACATTCTGAGTGATGACATAGTAATCATTCTTTACATGGACTTATATCAGGCTCTGGTTCATTGGTATTTTTTTTTTAAGAGGTGAGAACATCAATGTGTGGTTGTCCCTCAAGTGCCACCCCACTGGAGACCTGGTCTGAAACCCAGGCACATGCCCTGACTAGGAATCGAACTGGCGACCCTTTGGCTCACAGGCTGGCACTTAATCCACTGAGCCACATCAGCCAGGGCTCATTGACTTATAAATTATTCTCATGGTTTGGACTCTCTGGGTCCCAATAATTGGAGTTCAAAAATTGCTCTTAGCTTAGGAAGAAATGAAATGAGAAATAGTATGGGATTTTACATCTGGTATATTTTATAAGTAAAAAGATAATAAAGTGAGAAATTAAATAACATAGTACATGTGGAAACATTTATAAATGCAATTTTATGTTATTGTTATAAGTACCATGCCAATCAATAAAATAAGAGATTCATCACGATGTTGATTATTTGAATTTAAATTCTGTATTTTGGAAGAACTATATTTTCTACATTTCAGTAACTACCCAAATTTCTTAACTCAAATAACTACTTTATTATAGGGCCCAGCACTTATAAACATACAGGAGTATCCAATAGAAAGACATGAAGGAAGATCTCAAACCTTTACTGAAGAATGTGCCTCCTGGAGGTTGCCATTGGATGAAATTAACATCATCTGTGACATTGCTACATCACACGGTATGTCAGTTTATTCATTTGATTTTTTTCCTTCCTGCACTGCTTTTTTTTTTTTTAAGATATGAAGAAGTCCATAGACTCAGTAATTGTCATTCTTGGATTGGATAGCAATGAGGTATAATTTAGAACTAATTTCCTATATATAACAACCTAACAAAACACTGTTGTGGAACCCACATAAGCACTGCTAAGTTTGTATGCATATGTCTGTTTCTCATTACAATTGTAGCATAAAATTAAACACACCCAGGCGTGTGCTAAAAATAGAAGGGAAAAAGAAAACGGAGAAACATTGGATTTTTTGGCTGGGATTCCAGTTTGGTGATTGCATGAACCATGAAAGCAGGGCTGGAATAATTTGCAGTCATTAAACTTCTCATTGTAAAGAATGACAAAGAAAGGATGTGAACTTTTGGCGTCTACATTTCTGGACTGTTGCCATTACCTACTGATTGATGCAACGTGCCCTGGTACTTTTTGGCAGAAGTTTCTCAATTAGTGGCAATTACTGAAGTAGTATAAACAGAAGTAAAAGCAGGGGGAAGGGAGAGAGTTTCTAATGACTGAGATGGGGATTATTTAGGCAAACATTCATAAGCAAGTTTTGTTCCTATAAGTTCTATGGATATTGGTTATTCCTAAAATCAGCTTTGTTGAATAAAAATATGCACTTTAAAAATGTACAGGTTTTTTTGGTAACAGATCAGTGCTCTTGTTAGTACAGAGTAAGTATAGATTTTATGGATATAGTTTAAACTTTACCCTTGTCTCCCATTTAGGAAGTGTACATAAGCATGCCATGACCCTCTGCCCTGCTGCCTGTGGCAGGCGTCACTAACCAGGTGCAGCACTTTCTCATTAATCCTTGTCGCAGCGGCACAATTCTGAACAAACATTCCAGGCAGCTGCTGCCAGTTAGTCAGAATTGGCCCTTAAAAGATGAAACTACTTTTCTGTCCCACATGTAATTTAACCCTTTATCTCAGTATTGTCCACATTTGTAAACTAGGTTTTTTGTTGTTTCTTTGTTTTTTACCTATTCTGTATTTGTAAGAGAAAACATTTTCTTGTGTTCCAATCAGATAATGACATTGATAGATGATATATAGATAGATATAGATATGGATAGATATGTTTGATACAAAGACCAAACAGCACTTAATGCTTGCAAAATGAGAGAACAATTAAGTTTAAGTACATTTGTGTTAATACTTTTACTATATTCCTGGTCTCCTATAGTATGTGTAAAGGTACTCAGTAAATGTTTAATTGAATTTGTGCTGAGAGTGGAAACATTAAAAAGATTCTTAAATTGTAAATTATGTGATTCTATCTGATATTTGGAACTGTAACTGACACACAGTCTCCTAAATAATGTCTTCTTCTGCAGTTTCTATTAACTTGTGTTTCTTATCAATGTTAGCTATTTATTTAAATTTCCTATATATTTACATATAATATTTGGTCTTTGTAGGCATGGCATACACACACAAACAATATACATATACATATGTTCCAACTTTTCTAGGATAGTTCCAAATGTTACATCTCATCATACAAGGTCTGTCTGGAAAAAGTCCAGCTATTGTTAATATAACAAGAATGGTTTGTGCAACATTGATGTAACCTGGCAGCCACGGGGAGTGGACTGGAATGTGCATGCGTGAACAATGACTTCACTGTACTAGTCAGTGGGGGTGGTAGACCCCATGGAGTGAGCATGTGTACTCTGTGGCCATTCAAAATGACTGAGCAAGTAGAGCAATGAATCTGCATCAGATTTTTCATTAACCTTGGACATTTCTTCATGGAAACTATTCAGATGATTCAGAAACCTGTAGCTATGGGCAACTGGTAATTGACAGTTTCATCACAATAACGCACCTACTCATGCATCATATCTTGTGCAGAGTTTTTTGCTGAAACATCAAATCACCCAGGTGATTCAGCCCTCCTACAACCCAGATTAGGCACCCTGTGACTTCTGGCTTTTTCCAAAACTAATATCACCTTTGAAAGGGAAGAGATTTCAGACCATCGATGAGATTCAGGAAAATATGACAGGGCAGCTGATGGTGATTGGGAGAACTGTGTGTGTCCCAAGGCACCTACTTTGAAGGGGACTGAGGCATCATTGTCCTATGTACAATGTTTCTTGTATCTTGTATCTTCTTCAATAAATGTCTCTACTTTTCATATTACATGGCTAGATACATTTTAGACAGATCTCGTATTTTGTGTCTTAATTTGGGTTTCAGAAAATATGACCACTGTCAAATAGATACCTGGATGAGGAGGGATGCTGATATAATTTATTAAACAAAAGCAACTTAATCCCTTGCCATAGATAGAGATTATAGGAAACATAATCTATTGCCTGACTACCCAAAGGGAGGCACTCAAACCAACAGCACTGGCATTTCCTGGGAGCTTGTTGGAAAGGTTGACTCTTAAACCCCATCCCAGACCTACTAAATCAGAATCTACATTATCATTAGATCCATTGTGATCTATATGACCTTGGCAGTTGAAGAAGTACTGACAGAGAATTCAGAAGATGGACCTGGTCAAATACTCAGATTGAAAATCCAGAGATTTTATTTTTTATTGAGTTATAATTGATATCTAACATTATATTAGTTTCAAGTGTACAACATAATAATTTGATATTTGTATTGTGAAGTGATCACCACAATTAGTCTAGTTAACATTCATCACCATACACAGTTACAAATTTGTGTGTGTGTGTGTGTGTGTGTGTGTGATGAGAAGGAATGTTGATTTTATAATAAAAAATATTCAAAAGATAAACAAAAGTTTGGAAAATTAGATCCATACAATTAAGGATAAACTGTAGAATTGCTTATTTATAGCAAGAAATGCTTGAGGATCTAGTAATTATCTAGGAAATGCAAGATTAGCAGGTAGATGTTGACCAGCTTTTGTCTATCTAAATGAACAATAAAACAAGAGAAAACAGACCTTTATTGAAGGACACAGCACTTTGCTTTCATATAAGGAAGAATTTCCTGCATTGAGAAGTGTTAAATATTTAATGGTATTATTATGAGATGTTATGGAATTCTTTCGGGAACAAATACTTCCTCAAATACATAGCCGTGGTCCCATCTACATTTAGAGCAGGAACTAAATTGCTTCTCATGGTCTTTTCAGCCTAATCAATCCATCTACAAATCATCTGTTGAATTCCAGCTGTTCTTAGTCTTACGATTCAGTTTTCAGTGGACCTCTTGACCAGTCAGAAAGTCTGTTACAGATTACAAAATTAACTTTTTTTTTTTTTTGTCATTTCAGAAAATGAGGAAAATACTCTCTATGTAGTTGCATGCAATCCTGTTTCCTTATACTTTATGGATATGGCTGGGAAAAGTGGCTACTTTGTGGACTTTTTTGACATCTTCCCAAGAACTGCCAGTGGAGTTTGGCACCCATTTGTGACAGTGGCACCCCTGGGAAATCCCCTCAAGGGTCAAGTGATTCTCCATGAGCAGCAGGTAACGTGCCCCAGGTCGTTCTTGTGGTCCTCACATGCCAAGGGCAGCTGATGTGGAGAAAAAGGCAAAAATCATTCACAACATATAACTGAAAATATGTGTTTTTATAAAGATAAAGGAAAGGGGCTGGAGGGAGGGTCCAAAGTTATATATATTTTTATCAGTACCTTAAAATCAGGCTAATATTTCCTCTCTGCAGGATTACCTGTAAGTCTGGAAACACATAAGTCAGGGTTTCTCAATGCTGATTTTTGAGGCCAGATAATTCTTTGTTGTGAAGGTTGCATTCTCTTTGAACAAAAAACAAGTAAACCAACACCTAAATATGTCAATTTCAGGCCATGTGTGCTTCACAGGTTGTGTGTATTTTAATTAGTAAGAATTAAAATTCTAAAGGTCTAAGTTAATCTGTACTATACCAATAGAAGAGAGTATATAGATACTAGATAATAGTCTAAGGCAGGGGTCCCCAACCTCTGGTTCACAGACCAATACCAGTCGGGGCCTGTTAGGAACTGGGCCACACAGCAGGAGGTGAGCTTGAATGTAATGTGCTGGAATCATCTGGACACCATGCCTCCACCCCAATCCATGTCTTCCACGAAAGTGGTCCCTGGTGCCAAAAAGGTTGGGGACCACTGATCTAAGGAGTGATGGGGATTGGTAGGAGGAGTTGAGAGGGTGAACAATGTTGAGGTGACATTTTTATCTGAGACCTGAATGACGTTCTTTACACAGAGGGTGCCACTTAAATGTTCTGCATGAAATTGTCTTAGTCCATTTGGGCTGCTGTAACAGAGAAACCATAGATTCAGCAGCTTATAAAATATAGAAATTCATTACCCATAGTTCTGAAAGTTGAGAAGTCCAAGATCAAGGCACTGGCTGAGTCACTGTCTCATGAGGGACCGCTCCTTAGATTGCCGTCTTTTTGCTGTCACCTCACATGAAGAAGGATGAGGGATCTCTGTGGTGTCTCTTTTATTTCATTCATTCATTCATTCATTCATTCATTCATTCATTTATTTATTGAATTTATTGGGGTGACATTGGTTAATAAATCATACAGGTTTCAAGTGTACAACTCTATAATATACATCTCCATACTGAATTGTGTATTCACCACCCAAAGTCAAGCCTCCTCTTGCCATCTGCTACTCTCTAGCAGTGACCATACTATTGTCTGTCTGTTTTTTCTTAATCTCTTTACCTTTTCACCCTACCTTTGCCCTCTGCAGCTATCAGTCTGTTCTTTGTATCTATGAGTCTGTTTCTATTTTGTTTGTTAGTTCCTTTTGTTCATTAGATTCCACATATAAGAGAAATCATGATATTTGTCTTTTTCTAACTTGCTTACTTCACTTACCATAATGCTCTCAAGGTCCATCCGTGCTGTCACAAAAGTAGGATATCCTTCTTTTTTACAGCCAATTAGTATTCCATTGTGTAATTGTACCACAGCTTCTTTATCTACTCATCTACTGATGGAAACTTGGATTTCTTCCACATCTTGGCTATTGTAAATAATGCTGCAATGAACATAGGGTTGCATATATTCTTTAAAATTAATGTTTTGGGTTTCTTTGGATGCATTCCCAGAAGTAGAATTGCTGGGTCATAAGGCAGTTCCATTTTTAATTTTTTAAGGAAACTCCATACTGTTCTCCACAAGGGATGCACCACCAGCAGCGCACAAGAGTTCCTGTTTTTACACATTCTTTCCAACACTTGTTGTTTGTTGATTTATTGATGATAACCGTTTTGACAGGTGTAAGGTGATATCTCACTGTGGTTTTAATTTGTATTTACCTGACGATTAGTGACACTGAGCATCTTTTCTATTGGCCACCTGTATGTCCTCTTTGGAGAAATGCCTATTTAGCTCCTTTGCCCATTTTTTTTCTTTATTTTTTTTTAATTTTTTTTTATTTACTTTTTAAATACATTTGTCTCTGCCTCCCCCCCACCTCTTTCCCTTGCCCCCTCCCACCTTCCCTCCCACCGCTCTTCCCCTTTGGTTTTGTCCATGAGTCCTTACTTTATGTTCCTTGACTTTCCCCTTCCCTTCCCCTTCTCTGCCCCCACCTTCTCTCTTGTCTCTGTTGATTTCTTTTCCTTTCAATGTTGCTGGTCATATTTTCCTTGCATCTTTGCATTGTTGGTTAGGTTCCGCTTATAGGTGAGATCATACGGTATTTGTCTTTCGCCCCCTGGCTTATTTCGCTTAGCATGATGCTCTCCAGTTCCATCCATGCTGTTGCAAAGTTTAGTACTTCTTTTTTCTTTCTGCTGCGTAGTACTCCATTGTGTATATGTACCATAATTTTTTGATCCAATCATCTACTAATGGGCATTTAGGTTGCTTCCAAGACTTGGCTATTGTAAATTGTGCTGCTATGAACATTGGGGTGCATAGGTTCTTTTGTATTGGCGTTTTGGTGTTCTCAGGGTATAGTCCCAGCAGGGGAATCGCTGGATCAAAAGGCAGTTCCATTTTCAGCTTTCTGAGGAAATTCCACACTGCTTTCCATAGTGGCTGTACCAGTCTGCATTCCCACCAACAGTGTACTAGGGTTCCCTATTCTCCACAGCCTCGCCAGCACCTGTTGTTTGTTGATCTGTTTATGATGGCCATTCTGACCGGTGTGAGGTGGTACCTCATGGTGGTTTTGATCTGCATTTCTCTGATGGCTAGTGATGCTGAGCATCCTTTCAAATGCCTCTGGGCCCTCTGTATCTCCTCCTTAGAAAAGCATCTGCCCAGGTCCTTTGCCCATTTTTTGATTGGATCGTTTGTCTTCTTGGAGTGGAGTCGAGTGAGTTCTTTATATATCTTGGAGATCAAACCTCTATCTGATGTATCATTAGCAAATTATTTTCCCATAGGGTTGGCTCCCTTTTCATTTTGCTGATGTTTTCTTTTGCCGTGCAGAAGCTTCTTATTTTGATGAGGTCCCACTTGTTTATTCTTTCCTTTATGTCCCTTGCTTTAGGAGACATATCAGTGAAAAAATTGCTGTGTGGGATATCTGAGAGTTTCCTGCCAATGTTCTCCTCGAGGACTTTGATGGTGTTGTGACTTATATTTAAGTCTTTTATCCATCTTGAGTTTATTTTTGTGTATGGTGTCAGCTGATGATCCAATTTCAAAATTTTGCATGTAGCCATCCAGCTCTCCCAACACCATTTGTTGAAGAGGCTGTTATTACTCCATTTTATGCTTCTGCCCGCTTTGTCAAATATTAGATGTCCATAGAGACCTGGGCTTATTTCTGGGCTTTCTATTCTGTTCCACTGGTCTATGGGTCTGTTCTTGTGCCAGTACCAGATTGTTTTGAGTATAGTGGCTTTGTAGTAGAGTTTGATGTCTGGTATTGTGATCCCTCCTACTTTGTGTTTCTTTCTCAAAATTGCTGCGGCTATTCAGGGTCTTTTATGGTTCCATATAAATTTTTGAAATGTCTGTTCTATGTCTGTGAAATACGTCATTGGTATCTTAATAGGGATTGCGTTGAATCTATAAATTGCTTTGGGTAGTATGGACATTTTGATGCTATTAATTCTTCCAATCCATGAGCACGGTATATGCTTTCATTTATTTGTGTCTTCCTTAATTTCTTTTTTCAATGTTGTATAGTTTTGTGCATACAGGTGTTTTACGTCTTTGGTTAAATTTATGCCTAGGTACTTTATTTTTCTTCTTGCTATATCGAATGGTATTTTTTCTATGATTTCTTCTTCTATTTCATTGGTGGTATACAAAAATGCCTTTGATTTCTGAATGTTGACTTTGTATCCTGCTGTTTTGCCAAATTCACTTATTAGGTTGAGGAGTTTTTTGGTAGAGTCTACAGGGTTTTCTATGTACACTATCATGTCATCTGCAAACAATGATAGCTTTACTGCCTCCTTTCCTATTTGGATGCCTTTTATCTCTTTCTCTTGTCTGACCGCTGTGGCTAGGACTTCCAATACGATGTTGAAAAGAAGCGGTGAGAGCTCACATCCTTGTCGCGTTCCCGATCTTAGTAGGAAAGCTTTCAGTTTTTGCCCGTTGAGTATGATATTGGCTGTAGGTTTTTCATATATGGCCTTTATTATGTTGAGGAATGCCCCATTTATTCCCATTTTGCTGAGTGTTTTGATCATAAATATGTTCTGTACCTTATCGAATGCTTTTTCTGCATCTAGCGAGATGATCATGTGGTTTTTGTCTTTTCTTTAATTTATGTGATATATCACGTTTACTGATTTGTGTATATTGAACCATCCCTGCATGCCTGGGATGAATCCCACTTGATCGTGGTGGATAATCTTTTTAATGTATTGCTGGATGCGGTTTGCCAATATTTTGTTGAGGATTTTAGCATCTATGTTCATCAGGGAAATTGGCCTATAGTTTTCTTTCTTTGTAGGGTCTTTATCTGGTTTTGGGATCAGGGTGATGCTGGCCTTATAGAAAGAGTCTGGGAGTCTTCCCTCCTCTTGGATTTTTTGGAATAGTCTGAGAAGGACAGGGGGGTTAGCTCTTCCTTAAATGTTTTGTAACATTCTCCTATGAAACCATCCGGCCCTGGGCTTTTGTGTGCTGGGAGTTTCTTGATGACTGCTTCCATTTCCCCAGCTGTTATCGGTCTGTTCAAGCTTTCTGTTTCTTCCTCCTTCAGTGTTGGAAGATTATACTTTTCTAAAAATTTGTCCATTTTGTCAAGATTTTCAAATTTCTTGGCATATAATTGTTCATAGTAGTTTCTGACAATCCTTTGTATTTCTGTGGTATCAGTTGTTATTTCTCCTCTTTCATTTCTGATATTATTAATTTGGGTCTTCTCCCTTTTTTTCTTGAATAGTCTGCTTAAAGGCTTGTCAATTTTATTTATCTTTTCCAAGAACCAGCTTCTGGATTGGTTGATCCTCTGAATTGTTCTTTTTGTCTCTATGTCATTCAGTTCTGCTCTAATCTTGACTATTTCCTTCCTTCTACTTGCTCTGGGATTTAT